AAATTAGATCATTACGAGACCAAATGTTCATATGTATATAAACAAAAAGGCATGTAGAAAAGTTGTTATTTTGTTAAATTTAATTAAATAAACAAAAGGAAAAAAATTAGGAACGTCAATACCTCTGCGAATAAATTTTGGAACAATCATCCTACTAAACAAGCCAAAAAATCAGACAATTTTGCGTTACACCTACACTAAAAATAATTTAATTTCAAAAACAAACTACGTTCAGTATATACACATATTAAACAAAAAAAAAACGTCCGTACTTTTTTGAAAACTCTCAAACAACTGGACTCTAACAATTTATAGATTAATAGTGTCCAGGTCTTGCATAGGGGCTCTTCCACTCGAACTCCCGCTGACAGTTCCACCACTAGTCTCTGGAGGGTTGTTACCATTGTTATGCTGATGCTGATTTGCTTGGGACTTGCTTCCAGACCCAGAAACACTGTTCTTATCCGAATGAATATTGAATTTTCCGATGCCCGCAAAGGGGAAATGGAAATCAGGATTAGGTAATTTCTTCATGATTTTTCCAGAAGTTATGAGACGACCAAATCCTTCTTGATGGGCGAAAGCGTATCCTGAACGGATAGAACGACGAGCCCTTCGTGCGGACGGCGTTCTAAGCACGTCCTGACTTTGTCGAGAACGCATCTGAGCCATCCTCTGCTTCAGCCGGATACAGTCGGATAAGGTTGGTTTCACATCGATGAAGTCGAATACAGTCGGATAAGGTTGGTTTCACATCGATGAAGTAGAAACGCCACGCGAGCACGGGTACGATTGCCATAGTTACCGTGAGGACTGCCGTAAACCAAAATGTTGCCTCAGACATTGCACGGGTCAACGAACCCACGTAAGCACCGCCCCATACGTAATTATAGAAGTAATCGGCACCGAAGTAAAATGCTAAAGAACCCCATGTAGTAACGTGATTGAAAACGGTCCAATAGGCAGTATCCAAAGCGATCTGTAAAAGTAAAGTTGCTTAATCATCAAGAATGTATTAAAAATTTGAATTAGGGTTCTGTCTTAACATGACCTCATGGATTTTAAAATTTTATATAAATTATTATAAATCTTTTAGTACAGTTCTAATAATGTTAGTAGATGATAGATTTGTGTGTACACAATAATTTGACGTTGCACAATTAAAATGATGAAACACAGACTTTGTTTTAATGGAAAATAAACTGTTACTGACCTGTGCCGTATTAACTAACACCAATATAGTTGCTATTACGCTACAAAGTAACATATAATCGGAAAGTACTTGGCCATTTGGACTGAGTGCATCGTAATAGGTGCCTGGAAGACAAAAAAAAAACGGTAATAAAATTGGCAACCTTCTCCACACAACTTAATAGAGAAAACTTACCGAAAGGAATAAAGAATAGTATTAAGGAAATGTAGCAACCCTGTAAAGCGCTTCTGAAGAACTCTTTCTTGTTGAAAAAGAGATTGTAATGACCCGGTTTATAAAGTTGCGGATACATAACAGAATTCTTGTCGCTCACATCTTGATCGAGAACCCCAAGCGCTAATACTGGTAGCGATGTGTAAAACAGATTATAAATCGAAATAAACATAGGATCGAACATGGTCTGAAAAGAAATTTAAACAAACTTTCAGTTGTAGAAATGATATTAGATAAGGTAGATCGCAAAGAACAATAGCAAAAGAAAACAATAAAAGTAGAATGATACATTTGAATGTGAAAGTGACATAAAATTCTCAAATGGTCAGTGAATCTCCTATTAATATTATTTGTAAGAGTGACTCACCTGCGCACTAAATCCACAAAAAAATGCGAACCAAAAATGGCATACTGTAAAGGCAAAGTTCTTGTTAAAAAAGTATCTCAAAAAAATGCACATTCTGTAGTAAGACCATCTGCCGTGGACCAAAAGAAGACGTTCTAGAAACCTGAACTGGGCGATGGAATAGTCAGAAGCTAAAACTGCTTGCATACCTTCTTGACCCGATATACCCACACCAATGTGAGCAGCTAAACAAAAAAATAAATAAATAATGAGATTTTCGATATAAAAATAATATTAATTGCACAATTTTAGCAAAATAAATCAACTAAATGATCTAACTCACCTTTAATCATGGAAACGTCATTGGCGCCATCTCCTATGGCAAGAGTGACGGCGTGTTTGTTCTTTTTTATTAATTCAACAACGAGGGCTTTTTGTAAAGGGGTCACCCGACAGCAAATAACTGATTTGCATTGAGTGGCTATTTCTAAAAAGAGTCGTTCCAGTTGGGGATGCAAGCAATGAACTAAAGAATGACCATTAACAACTATAGCGAACTCTGACAATGACTCTTCGTTGCTTTTCTCTTCGTGATCATTATTACCCTGCTCTATCTGAGTGCTATAAATAATTAGGAAATTTCAGAAATATTGTTAAAATACACTAACAGCATCTGCTAGAAAAATTGAACTAACAAAAATTTTTTTGTATAAATAAATGTTTTCTACGTTGTAAAAAAATAAACTTGCAAAAATGAAGGGAATATGTCAACATGTTCTGAAAATTCGCCCCTTTTAAAAATTTTTTTCTCAATCACGTTTATTTTTATCAAAAAGGGGCTGTTTAGGAACTTGTTGCCACCCTTTCTTTCTGTAAATTTATCCATTAAAGACAGTGGAATAACTGTCTTCAAAAATTTATAAAAAAGTAATATGTAAAGACAGTGCATGAATATTAATTTATATGGAAAAAATAAGAACTTTTACTTTAAGTGTTAGTTGTTACTTTAAAATAAAATACAGTAGACAATTTACAGTAGTTGTTATCAAAAGACAGAAACAAATTGCAACCCAAAATATTGTTTTTAAGGTCTATAAGCGAAGGTTTAGTTTGTTCACGATATACAGAATAACTAATACGTAGTTCACATTATACACGGTTTCCATTATCTGATGTTCACACTATATGTATAGTGTCTACTGTATTGCTAATTTTTAAACACAATATTTGTTATTTAGTACAACTAGCAGTGCAATATACCTATTCTGCATTAAGAAAGACAGAGAGAAAATACACACAAATAGCTACCAAACAAATATGTCATCCACAGACATGTTATGTGTATTACTTGAAGATATTCCTTTGGGTCCCAACAGAAACGATTGAACTACCTCCAGATCGAGTGAAAAGAGATATACATATAATGTTAATATTAAGTAAAATGCAGGAAGTTATTATGGATATATAATCAAAAATTAGTCCTGTTTACAAGGTATTGGACAAAATGTCACATTAATAGCAAATACTTGAACATCTGCGTTCTGCCAAAAGTTTTCATAGGCTTCATTTTCAAAATTCTGAATAAATTGTTCACTTGAAAAACACTTGTATTAATTACAAAAGTTGTGCATTTATAGAAAAAGAAAGTTAATATAAAGTCTGAGAAGGAAAAGTGTGTTCCACTATACTCCCAACAAATAGATCCCCTATTCTATTAAAAGTGAGAGAATTCGTAAAAAAAAATCAAAATAATACTACTACATTCAAGTTATTAAATAAATAATATGTATAAATACATCTTAATCTTGTTTTGCAATAAAAAAACATCGATGACTGTCCTATTAATTCATTATAACTAAATCGAATAAGATTTTATATTAAATTATGTACTGTGTGCACAGCTGTTAAGCGTTCGATCTGGTAACCTTGATCTTCAGCTTACATTATGAAATTTTTACTATATATTTTTTGTTACCAAGGTTAAATGTTATACATCATTGCCGACCACTGTAAGACTCCCATCGTTTTATTTTTTATTAATATCAATCAAAGTAGTAGTGTTATTTTGTAATGTTTATGTAAGGTGTTCAAACCCCCTCAACCCGTACATGGGTAGCTGCTACGAGGTCTAGGCAGTTTTAAGACATCAGTTATTTGTGTCTACCTTGCTCTCTGACTTTCTGTATAGTCATTGACGACGTCCCACCTGAATGTGACCACGCTGACTGCGGGTGGTGACACTTGGACAGGAGATGGCTGGGGTGGAGTAGAAATTCCAACCCCGTTTGAATTGCTAATGTCTTTATCGTGAGATGGGGGCTGTGGATGGTACGTCTTAATTATTTTGATACTATCACGAAATTTAAGTAACTGCTGATGGACTTCGTCGTACGTTGAACCGTCGACAATGAAAACCTCAACCATATCGTCCGTAAGCAGCTGACATGAATATCCAATATTGATTGCTGTTTCTGTAAAAACAAAGACAGGGCAAATGTGAATATAAGATGAGGGAAGATGAAACACAACATGAGATGGAAAAATATTGTAATGATATACTACTACATCAACTGACCTTGTTTGTCTCCTGTAAGGACCCATATCTTGATGCCTGCTAAACTTAAGTTAGATATGGTTTGAGGTACTTTGTCTTGAAGTTTGTCTTCTATGGCCGTCACTCCTACGAGAGTTAAATCGGTTTCAATTTCTTCATAAATGGCATCCAACTTCTCTTCACGATTATCTAACGATACAGCCGCCTCTTGATGTCTCTGCTTCCAGTCGTTAAAGAATTTATCACCCAGATCCCTGTACGCGCAGCATAGGGTACGCAAGCCTTCGCCGGCAAATTTCTTTAATGATTAACAACAAAACAGGTGTTATATACACAAATGATATTAATTGTGGTGATCCAATCAAAAGGCACTTTAAATTTAACTGGATAGAGCAATGGTGTACAAGTCAAGAAAGAAAAAGTTTAATCTTACCAATTTTTACTTACATTCAAGTGCTCAAGAGTTTTCTGTTTGAATTCCGTGTCGCCCTTCTTCAGCCTTTCGTATATCACATTGTCAGCTCCCTTGCAGTACAGCCGGAGTTGTCCGTTTCGCCTCAATATAACGGACATACGTTTCCGTACGTTATTAAAGTCCAAGATGCAAAGTAACTCGTACACTTCCAACTTGCCCATCACTTTAATCGTGATGCTGTTCGGCGAACGTTCTTTGAACACGAACCCGAAATTCCTTGCCGCGGACACAAGCGCGGCCTCGTCAGGAGACTGCGCCTGATATTCCAGACGACCATTACGTTCATCCGGCATGACGGTATGGCAAAGGGCTAGCAACCGGAAAAAGTCGTGGTATGTCGGTTCGTAAGCTTGAACCGCGTCCAACAACGTTTTGTCGTAGAACTTGAATTCGGGCTCGTAATCAGAATTGAACGAAAAATCGATCGGTTCTGTATTATCACCAATTTCAATCACTTCGCCTGTATTCTCGTCGATCACGTCACCGTGGATCTTACCCCCGATCGAACACTTATTAAATGTCATTATATTTTGGGTTAACGTGCCAGTTTTGTCCGAAAATATGTATTCCACCTGACCTAAAATATTGTAATTATTTAGTTAAATAAATAAGTGACACAACCTATTGGAAAGTTTGAAAGTCGACATATGAATTTCTGTGGCCCAAACACGGAAGCATAACGTAAATAAATATGGGGGTCATTTTCGGGGGGCCAACAGGGATTTAAAGGAACAAGTTTTGCAAACTGTAGCGTGTGACATACCAAATGAAAATACTTGTTGTAAGGGTCTCAAATATATTTTTTTTATAATTTTAAAATAAACAGTCTTACAGTTAATAAAATAGATGAAAATTGACCATCCATGATTACAGGAAAATTAATAAGAAGTCTATGGTCTGAACATAAATCCTTCAACAAATTTGCATTTGCAGTTTGAATGTATGGGAGAACATGTTTTTTGTTAAGGGTTCCGTATGTCCGAATGAAAAACGGAACCCTTCTAGGATCACTTGTGTGTCTGTCTGTCCGTTTTTTTTTTATTAAAGTGTGTGATAAGCCACCAAACCTAAATAACCCTCGATATAAAATTAAAGACGAAGCAAAAGTGACTAACCGAGTTCTTCGTTAAGTGACGTTGTCCTGGCTTTGGCCGGTGTGCTGGTTATTTCGTAGTACATCTTCTCGTCCCAATTAATAAGAAAACTTTGTACAAAACGTATAACTTCTACGGAGACGTAAAGCGAAATTGGCACTACAGTATTAAGCACGATGGCATATGAAAAGAACACGAGCAGGGAAATGATGGTAGCACCACTTAGTGGCTCCAAAGGCACCAGCGTGTCCCACGGAAGGAATGTCTGGAAATAACGTCCCACCAACGATTCCCATATACCACATGCCACCATGCAGAAAAGGCACATGGACAATAGAAAAAATACTATCTGAAAAATGGAAAGAACAGACACGTATATACACAAAATACCAGCTGACACCAGTCTTGTAGTTAATTTACCCCTATAATTAAAAAATTAAGAAGTCTATCTATACTAGTCCGTTTAAACTTCGTCTTGCCACTATTTTGCATTAATTTCGTATCTTTGCCTGCAAAGATTACGACGCCATAGCACCATTCAGTGTTTCTCAGTACACAACCCCTTAACAGTATCTTGTCGTTGTCCAGCGAGTACTTGTTGTTCTTCCATATCAGCGTTCCCTCGAACTTGTTCAAGAGATTGTTAGGAGTTTCACAAATAATCTCGCCATCGAACTCGCTCAGCAGTTTGTCGTCGTTGCCCATTTCCGCAGTTTCTTGCAAACACTGTCGACACTTTAAGTTGGTCTCTCTATAAAGAGAATAACAAATAAATTAGACCCGTTTAAGCTGGACAAAAGGGAACTTTTACCCATCCAATTCGGCAGTTTCGATGTAACAAAGTCCGTTAGGTTCGCTGGACGACAAGAGTAAAATATCAGCCGCAATGAACTGGTCATTATCCATGCGAATTACATCGCCCACTTGCACCGATGACCATCTTTCTTGTGCTAATTTACCATCTCGAAATGCAAGGGATTTTCTATTGTTAACTTGGGAGTCGGACCTATGGCGTTGCTATAACCCAAAAAAAATGTATATACAAAAATTTCCCGCAGCAAATGTAATAACTGATGTATTTTTGTTTTAATAGTTTTCTAGATCGAATTTTTAAATATTTTTGGATTGATACAAATTAGAGAGGTAATGGTGTGTTATGGGACAAGAAGAAAAGGCAGTTTTCAATTAGAATTTGAAAGAAAGTGTTCTTTTGTTGGAAGAGACACCCCGTATAGGATGTTATCGATTGTGTTGTTCGTCGAGGCAAAAAACCTATAAAGTACTAACGAAATCATCGTATGCGTCCTTGATAGCAGTCAGACCCAGCACACCGATGAGAGGAAGGGCTGTTGTGACTGGCGTAAGACTACTAATGGCAGGAATCAGCTGCAGCACGAGAAGGCACAAGAAATAGAAGTTGGCTAAACGTTGAAATTGCTCGAATAAGTTCAGTGGCAGGAACGTCAGAACGCTGTACTTCGAAGTTTTAATATAGTTGTTCTGGAAGTAAAAAGAAGACGACCATGTAATTGAATTACTTCATCGTCTTATTTTGCATTCAAAAAAATTCATTAAATCCACACATAAATTACAACCGTTTAATATTTACTTTGCTCTGAATACGAATGAGATACTTAATCTCATTCAGTAGCGGCACGTGTATACGTACTATATGTCCTATCAGCTGTCAGTTTCAAGAGATGAAATAGCTTTTTGCCAATTGGCGCCACTCTTCATTATTTTCAAGTAAATTAAACCCTAATAGGGTCTCAAATTCTGCTCGTGACATTCGGTGAAAATTATTAAATTTTCCCGAATCCTCTGATCCTGTATCCTTTTATAAAATATAACACGTACAAAATTAATCGCTATAGTTGAGACAATCAAAATTGACAAAGTTCGCAATAAATTATCTGTAAGAATGGACGTATCTTCTTTCTTGTTTCTGTAATTAGGAAATGCTTCATGAGTAATACAGACAAAGTGAAAAGAGATAACCGAATAATAGTAAACTGGGCAGGGTTAGAGATTACTTAGGTACTCAAAATATGAGGGTCGGCTTTATGACTGCCTGGTTGGAATTATATCTTTAAACAAACGTCTTTGCTTTCGTAAATTCCTGAAAATGTTGAACTTTCATTAAGGATGTTTGGGAGGTACAATCGGAGACAAGAGTACATAAAATTAGAAATTCGTGATTAATTAGGTTTTGCACCATATCATGAGGTAAATAAATACTATCTATACTAAAAAAAGAGTATACGGTTTGAGAGAAAATTTGGAATTTGACCAAAAACTGAATAAAATAAGAAAAAACGAATAATATGGAAAACTTTTAACTGACTTTTGGCAGTGAATATGCCTTGATTTCAACTTCGAAACAAAAAAATATTTAGTTTCAATCTCTATTAATAATGAGCGTAAAACTTTTTAATATGTTTAAATAATAATTAAAACTTTAAAATTGCATTTATTTCAGACAATTATAAATATTATCATTATATTATCAAGTAAAAACGAGATTTTCAGCTAATTTTTCATTTTTTCCTCGATAACCATTTAGTGAATTTGAATAACCTTACGCTAAAGTGATTCTCCAGAGTTCAAGTTACTTATTATAAAAGTTTGAAATTTCTGGTAGCTTTTTTTCTGTTAATAAAAATAAATTTAATCTGTTCGGTTAACGAATCTCCATAAAATGACGTGTAAAATTACAATTTTTTAAAATTTCAATAACTTTTTAACGGTTTAGTGAATCGATTTGTAATTGTTACAGGAGTTTTAGAATTGAATGAGGAACGTTCTTCCAAATTTTTATTTGTTTCGTAGAATTTTGACATACCTCCCAAACATCCTTAAAGTCCGACGCTGGCAAAATGCTCAAATTCTGCTTGCCTGCATCTCTTTCTGTTACACACTAATTGGTGTAATGTTATTCTTTTATCTTTATTAGTGTCCGCTGCAATTCTAATGTGACATCTCTTTTCTAAGGTTATGATTTTACCTATAACGTCTGTCGTGAGTACAAGCAGGCCTTCTATCAACAACCGCTCTAGTCTAGTTGTAAGTTGAAAGTAAATGCGACAGTTTTATTGGGGACTATGCCAATTTTGAACGTCCCAACCATAGGTGTGGATGGAATTATGTGCTTGAAAACAGCAGCGAATTTGAGAGAATATTCGTTCTTGCTCGCTCATTTAGTCTGAACCCAGCTTTAGAGAAATCACCGCTAATTTTATTTTTTTTGGTATAAAATACATTCATACTACAATTTCGGTTACGTAGATTTTATTTAACACTTACAGTTCGGATACGATCATCATAAGAAGCTTTAAGTTTAACCTACCTCATACCAACATAATTACTTTTCGTTTTAATTTTATTTTTTTCTGTTATTTGATTGTAAGCTTTCCGGAATTGCTGAATAAATCAAATAAGTACTTACCAGTTTGGAGTTACAACTTGCTGTTTCTAGTTTTAATTAGAAACCTTTGAAATAAAATCAATAATTTTATGGAAAAATGCCTATTATTGCATAGGTTCACAATGCAAAATATGATTCGATTCCCTAACGTTAAATAAAAATACTAATACTCGTTTTTGTATTTTAAACAGAATAACTTCAAATAAATAACTTCCTTGTCTGTTAAAACCCTTTCTGCAGAAGAAGAAAATAAAAAATGAAAGGAATTCAATATTGAAATCCTTAAATATTTAACCTACGTATTGTAAGTTATCAAAATGAAATTGTGTGCAACAGAAACCATATAACTATAATAATGTCTGTAAATAATAATCATAAACAATGCATTGTACATGTATACCGGAGTTGCAATTATTATAGCAATTACGTTGTAACAAATTATTCTTTGTAAATAACTTAAAAAGAATAAAGAAAAAACTTGTTTAGAAAGTAAGTTAATTAATGTCTATAAATACAATCAAACCTAACATAAAGTAATAGGCAAATAGGCAATAAGTATAGTACGACTTCTCGATATTGTGTCAAATAAAAACTTTTAAAACACAAAACCAACAAATTATTTATTGAATGCTAAGAATTTTGTTCGTTATTGGCTATTTTTATTAGTAATTAAAATTGTCACCAACTCTTATAAAATATCAATTATTGGTAAATGTCTAGATGATGGCTCCCATCCCCCAAGTGGGTGGGGGTTGGTGGGATCGAAAGAGGAGGTCTTCCCCACCACTGTGCCATAAAAAGTTTGTGGCGGTCTCACCCCCATTAAAAGTTATGGGGGTTAGATGGGGGTGGGGGTAGGGGGGATTGAAAGAGGGTAGGGGGATCGAACTAGGGGGGTCATCTGAGTTAAACCCCATAAAGAATTTGCGGCGGTCTCACCTCCATAAAAAGTTATGGGGGTTGAAAGTTGGTTATTTTGACAATTTTCATACACTATAATTCAAATAAAATTCAATAAAACGATTATATTTTCAAGCGGGTGGAGGTGGGGGATCGAAAGAGGGTGGTCACTTGAACAAAACCCGATAACCTAACCTAACCTAACCTACCCTATTGATAAAGATATTTAAATAATGTTTTATATAACTTTCTCAATATTGTTATGTATTTTTCATTAGTTTTACCTTTGAATATTGTTTAGGAATGACTACATAAATATTTACATGCTTAGAAATGTATAAAAATTGGCATATTTATTAACTCTGAACCCCCATAACTTTTTATTGGGGTGAGACCGCCACGAATTTTTTATGGTACAGTGGTGGGGGAGACCTCCTATTTCGATCCCCCCCATACCCACCCCCGTCGGGGGTAGGGCCCATCATCTAGACCTTTACCCAATTATTTTATATAAACGTATAAATGTCGAGGTGTTTCAAGTGATTTGGCATTAAAACAATGCAAGAATTTTGGAGCAGCATTCGTCTTATAAATATTACTTCGTTATAACCGATCGAACCAGCTAATTGTTCGTTATAAATATGTAATGTTCAAATGGAATGTAATTTTTTTATTTTGAAACCAAGCGTCCGTTATAACCGAGTTAAAGCTACAAGTAAGTCCATAGTTTATGACCCTATGCATTAACCGCCATGTGAGTCATTTAATAATAGTTTTCCATTGTATAAACGAAAAACGTAGTCAGTTAATATATTCCTAGCAAAAAAACAATTTTATAGCTCGCCAATGAATTTGTCGAACTTGTTTCTTTTTGTCCCAATAAAATTAACATTGACATTGGTTGTATAAACTAATTTAACCTTCTATTGTCATGCTCGTGCCCACCTATTCCGTATCAAACTTTATTGAATAGCACACACCACGTTGGTTTATTTCAGACGTTCACCAAAATAACTTTTATTGCAATCATTTTCACTGGTTTTTGTGAGAAACGGGTTAATCCGAAATTACAAACACAATTGTTATGTGACTTAATAATGCTTGTCGTAATAAACCGCGGTAGGTATTGTTTACAAATGCACGCCAGATTGATGGATTCTTAAATTGTTTTTATGGAAATCGATAAAGAATATATATTTATAAACCTTATTAGTTTACTATACTTCCTCCATTACTGGATATTTAAAAACTTTCAGTACCAATAACATTTTGTCGTAATTTTCTTTAAAATTTTATTGTTGTTTCTGCCAAAGTTAACTAATTTTATCGTCCAAGCAAACAGCAATAACAAAAACGAAAATACATGAATTACACCGAGTAACTTCTGCAATATTCGAGTCAGAAAATATATTGATTTGTAGAAGTTCAAGTTGCAGAAATTCGACCGTAGACGGTCTTCATTTTTTGGGACCTAACTATATTTTTTTACAAGTACCCTATCTAAAACGATAATAAAATTTACTGCAGGAAATATTATCATGCTTTAAAATATATCGCAAACTAATATAAACTGACACAACTTTACTAAAAACACCTCAATACCAAAACATTTTGTCATAATTTCCTTTAAAATTTTATCGTTGTTTTTGCCAAAGATAATTAATTTTATTGTCCAAGCAAATAGCAATAACAAAAACGAAAATACATGAATCAAACCGTGCGAATTCTGCAATCATTTAAAAAATATTTGTTGCAAATAATTGATTTTTTTTCGGTCATTTCTTTATGAAGACTAAAGTTCACAATGAATATTTAACCGAATAACACAAGCTTTCACTTGAAATGTTATTGTACTCTTAACAATTGTTTCACCCTGGGTGTCCCTAGAGACAGTATTGAGGATGCATGCCCTGGTGGAGTGAAACAATATTATTAAGGGTAGGTAAGTACCTATAATAAAAATTAATGTAGAAGTTTGTGTTGTTATTCGTTTCAAATTTTTGGAGCCCTTTTAATGTACTATGACAGAGTAACTATTTTACGAAAATTTCCAATAACTTGATAATGGTTTGCATGAAAGAAACAATTAATAGCTTTGAAGCGATACAAAATATTCTCCGTTGTTTATGATAACAAATATACAGTGTAAACTCTTTATAACGTCACTCGATTTAACCACAAACTCCTTAAAACGTCGAAATTGCTTGACTTTGGTTGGTTTACATTGTTTTCTATACAATATTACACTTTATATAGCGTCACGCTCACTCTATTTAACGACAACAATGCGGCATTATAAATCATTGAGCAGTACTTTCTATGTTGCCGAAATAGATAAGAACTGCAGCTGTGTACGTTGTTGAAGAAGACGATCCTGTCCCTCCACCAAGCATCAAACAAGCACTTGATGCAGCGAAACTATTAAAAAAATACTTTTTATATAATCAAGTTGATCCAGCAGTATCTCAAGATATGAGTAAGATGCGTAACAAAATACAATTAAAATATTGGATCAGCAAAAACCATCAGACGAAGATAACAGGCTATACGCAATGTAGGAATAATAATGTTTGTGTGCAAAATGTGTACTATATTGGTAAATGCATATTATTATAGAATAGTAAAATAATATCTTTTATTTCACTCCATTTAACGACCACTCTTTATAACGCCGAAAAATGTTCAGTCCCTTAAGTGTCGTTATATAGAGTTTACACTGTATTTTCAAAAAATATTTTTGAAAAGTCTTAAAATATGTATTACAAGGAGTTATATTTTACAAATATTGTTGCTAATTTTATTGTAACAGTAAAAAGTAAAACATGTACCGTAATGTAAAAAGGGGCATTCTCAAATGCTGATATAATTCAAAACAAAACCCTTTTCCAAACACATACAATTTAGTAGCAACTATTTAATCAAAACCGATTCGTTATAAAGCACACCATTCAAGGTTATCCCTTTTTTGTTAATCGCCGTTATAATAAAAAAAGTTAGTTTCATTTCCTTCAAGCAAAGCAACACCAGAACAAAACATATACACAACGTTCAATCAATGTAAGTGATGTTTGTCTAATGGCCTCCAGCGCTAGTTATAAGTGAAATGCTTAATAAAAAGAAGCCACGTGTCGTCGGTTTTTCCGACCGCAACGCAAGACAGTTTTAAAAACGCATCATGAAAATTATATTGCAGACTATAAAACAGCAGCAGAAATAAATAAAATATCGTAGTTTATCAAAACAGGAGTTAAAGACTTACCGCATATTTGAACTGCGAATTGTAAATTCTATCATTTGCTCGAATTCGTCGCTGATTATCTGGAACAAAAGGAAACAACTTTACTCATACCGTAGTCATACATAATTACGTGATAATATGCTAATGAGGTAATGACAATCGGTGCAGTTGTCGATATTTTCGAATAGAAAAAAATATAGTTAAATTAATGAATTGGGCTTTACACCTGTATCTTCGATGTTGACGCTTAATCCAAACTTTTAATTAAAAATTGCAAATTTAGACATGCCAGGCGTCTATTAAATGTCAATATTTGTTTATAACATATTTGGCATTCGTTCTGGCAGGCAGGTGCCCCTGATTACTGGATTTCCATTTGTAAAGTACTATCGGCAAGGGGTGAGTGCAAAATCCCAAGGGATTATATTAGGTTGCGGTTAGTGTTAATGCCATGCACCAAACACAAGGGACGAATTCAATTTGTATTACATAAAAAGCTTTTAACTGTACTCATTTATGCTTAAAGATTTTTTTAAGATTAAAGTATACCACAGCTGCTACACCAAATAAAAAATGATAGGCAGGTATTATTTGCAGAAATCAGAAATTCCACTAATAACTCTATGGATTTCCCCAAAGCAACTAATGTTAAGACTAGCAATAGTATTATGTTTTTGTAACATTGTAAAACAAACTGTACAACTTGGTTTGACGAAAAATGTATCGAAAATCTGTTCTAACACCTCTTTCTTGACATTTTACTGAAATTTTTATTTTTCTTTCATCTTACTGTTTTCGACATACACAAGTGACATGTGTTTCTTTTACATGTTTTTTCACGATTTGTCCACAATATTTAAAACATTCAAAAGTGGGAATAACGTTTGAATAATGGCCTGAATAACATAAAAATAAGAAATACAGTGAATTTCATTTGTTACGATCTTGGCTATAACGACCATTTTGCTATAGCGACATTAAATCTAAGTACCTTGAATTTAAGACATACTTTATTACAAAATTCATGTGGCTATAGCGACTTCGGATATAACGCCGAGTTCGGGTGTAGCGACTGTTTTTAATAAATCATTTGTAACAAATCCCTAGAAATCCCACAAAGAACTTTCTTATGTTTTATTTACATCCATCAGCAAGAGTGGCGACCTTTACCGTTTGTTTATATTAGCCAGGTAGATAAGTAAGCGTGTAAGTTAAAATGGTTCAGTTACAAAGGCTTATTCTGAATAGTAACTGACTTTAGTAACCTTTTGAATAGAATAAAATAACTCCCACATGCACATTTACTGTTAAAAAAAAAGGCGAAAATCAATTTAAAATTGAAAAATGGTAAAAACTATTCATACATGTCTGTATTACTTTACCTTTGCCTTTAACGACTTTCGCATATAACGACGAAATTACAGTGGCCCCTTCGTCGCCGTTATATCCGAAATGCACTGTATATTATTATCGATTTATATACACTAAATATTTCCTTTATTACAAGTATTTCTTCTTATCGTTAATATACTCAAAAAATTGTGATATACGATATATATAAACTAATTTTTAAGCGTTATCTAGGTACTTGTAGAAAAATCTGATAATCCACAGCACATTCCATAGCTTTTTATTACACGTTTAAAATACGCGACATACTAATTCAATTCGGAACTAGGTCTTCCGTTATTTTTTTGTAAATAAATAAATATAGATAGCAGTTTACATGTAACGTAATGCACAATTAGTACGTATGTATAAAACACTGGTTGCGGTTTACAATTATAGAAACTACTTCCGTACCCATTGAGCACGTCCGTTAAAACGAACCTACTTTACAAGGTTCTTGCAAGCATCAGATTGACGTTTGTCATTCTATACGTGCACTATATAAAATTAATCAACTAACAATAATTATAAGTATTGAATGAAGCAGGCAGAATAGAAATAATGTGAACAAAAATTTAATTTATTTCAAGATTTCTTAATTTTATCATACTCAGGATTCCGTACCCGAAGGATTAAATCACTAGCGAAATTGGATCTTCTAAATTTTTAAAATTATCGAATGTTTATCTCCAAAAATCTCGCGAGGAACAGTATCGGTATCGGTTAAAGATAATATCGTATTAATCTGAGATTTAGATATCCTTGAATGGTTAAAAATGAACAAACAAATCTATACACTATCTTTATCAAATAACAATTACATTATCATCACTTATATATCAACGCCGAACTGATAGTAATATTGTCCAGTACAAGAGGAAATGCAATTTCGGACACTACAGTTATGTTGATTATACTATTACTGCACGTAGTTCTCGAGGACTTTGAGCAGATTCTATTCTATTCAGCCTGCATTGAATGAAATGGTAAACCTCTGTACTAAGCGTAGTGTTAGAGAACATGCATATTTATAAATAATTGTCTGTCGAGGCATACGTAGTAGGTGGGTATACCTATATCCTATGTTGTAATAATCCTAATCAGCCCCAAGCAGTTTCTAACTCAAGAGCTTCAAAGAGTTTCGTTATCTTTCTAATGTCATCTCACCCGACTTAAATTCAAATTTTTAAATTTTCGTTTTCCTAACATTTACAATGCGATCTTCACAAAATCTATCTAGTGAGAGCTCCTACTGTAATGGTTAAAGTATGTTGTCAAAAAGTCACTTATTTAGTCAGTCAGGACGAACTCCTTTATTGGTTTAAGCTTATAATAAAACAGTACACATCTTCTTTATCAAAACGTCTGTTACTTACCCAACTGAAATTTTACAAAACACCAAAAAGCTTTTACAGGGCCTCGTAAGCTGTTCTTAAACCTTTTTTCTGATTAAATACTCATTGGAAAGGAACCATTGGCGGTAATCCTTTTTGTATATATGTTGATTATATTCAAAATCGTGAACCTACATATAATTATCAAAAATATTGTTTTTAACGGTAGAATAAAAGCCTGTTACGAATAAAAAAATAGAAAAGGAAATAACCATGTGCAACGTGCAAGTATTTCTAGCTTTAGCCGGTTAATTTCGGCTTTTTGTTGCTTGGTAATGAAATAATGTCAAAATTACACCTTTAACAAAAACCAATTATACTTGGTGTCCAAAAGACCTGCACACGCCTACGTAGATTTTAAATAACTGATTTTAAAACTGTAACCAGAGTAAATAACAAAAGTATGACTAACATTTTTTAATTTAATAAATAGGCATCAGGAAGGAAAACAACAAAAATTGGAACATTTCCAAATTTTATTAGAAAGAATATTATTTAATGTACTTGCTTCATTTAGCTAAATATTTTTGAATTATTGAGCATATAACTACGTCAAACATACGAACCCTATAAACTCATTGGAATTAAAAGCAGCCATTAATGTTAGTGTATATTCAATAAACTATAAATAAGTTTCATGTTAATTTGTGTTCGTGAAACATAAACAATTTCATTATTACAAGAAGCGTTTCGATTACAACCCAAAAATAATACTTCAAAAGTCCAAAATTATTATAATTCATGTTAGAATCTTACTTCTTATCATTATTAATTTTAAATTTTATCACTAATTTAAATCGTAATAAAATCATGATTAATTCAAGAAAATGAAGTTAGTTAGACACTTGAAAATGTATTTATTCATAAAAGAAGTAAAACTTAGAAACATTTTTATGTTAATATTTACTGTTTGTTATAATAATTAAAAAAGGATTTGACTGCTTTTTACAAACACATAATTTAATACAAAAAAGTGAACTGCAGGTACCTAAAGAAAACCTGAACATTGTTGAACTTTTATTTATTTCTTATATCCGAATGTATGAGTCAGTACACTATAAATCGTTAAAATTGTTAAAAAATAGGAAATAGAAATGAGTTTGTTTGTTTATTTGGTACTATTTCACGCCTTAACTACTACTATCATCACCATACATTTTTAGGGGTGCAGAAAAAGACATAGGGTACCTTTTATCCAAAAAAAGAATACTGATTCCGATGGATAGAAAAATTAGTTTTATGTAGTTGTCAATTATTATTGACACGTATTTATATTAATAAAAACTTCAAAACTNAAAAAAAAAAAAAAAAAACTTGATTTTTTTTTTAAAATCATCGATTTTTGACTATGACCAAGACTGAATTATTGAAAAGTCATCGATTTTTGATTTATTTAAAAAAATTACGAGTTTTATCAACCTCGTTTAAAAGCGTCTTCAAACTTAATCAATCGTAAGTGTATTTTAAGAATTTAAATTAACATTAAGTTAATTTGTTTCTGTTGACCTTTAGAAATATCTATTTTTAGCTGCATACACATTATCCTTGGAAGATAACGGTAAACAATTTCCATTATTCAACGAAGGGACCAATGTTTTCTTCCAGACTATCCACCGACGCACGCACAAAGGACTATAAGGTTAAAGACCCTGGAAAACTAAATTCGAATAGGGGATTGCGTAGATAACTATGAAGAGGAATGAAAAACAAGACGTATGAAACGAAATGAAATGAGAATAAACATGACATCTAATGCAAAAGCTTTACAAATGATACTGTTTCAGTTAAGCACATAGGTACAACCATAATTGAGACAAAAGCTTCCAAAACACTCGTAAATAATAAATATTGTGTAACATTATTTCGAGGATCATTATTAATATTTTTTATAAGCTTTTGCTAGACAGCGAAGTGGTAAAAAAGAATCCTTACGATGAGCTTTTGATTTATTTCAGAAGTATGTATTAATTTTTGACTTCATCTGTCTCTGAAGATCACAGACCTAAATAGAACTGTTTTTTTTTTAATGCTGCAGGAAATTGAATTAAAAACTTAAACATTGACTAGTTATTTTTTAAAAAACTAACTGAATGCTGTTCATATTTTTGTTGAAATACAATGAAATTTCGTAATAGACCGAACAGTGGTTTTGAATATCATTTTTTCTGGCATTGCACGATTCTAATTTATTTTAGTCCAAACTCATCCAGTTATTAAACGTTTTTCTTTATGAAAAATATAAAAACTTCTACATAATAAGCTTTTGATTCGTCTCTGAAGATTGCAGACCTAAATTA